ATGAGGGAGGCGGCGCTGGGGAGCCGAGGGCCGCCGCCGCCGCCGCCGCCGGGGGGCGAGCGGCGCGGGGGCGGCGGGGGCCGTCGGGCGCGGGCGCTGCTGGCGGTGGCGCTCAACCTGCTGGCGCTGCTCTTCTCGGCCACGGCCTTCGGCACGACGCACTGGTGCGAGGGGACGCAGCGGGTGCCCAAGCCCACCTGCGGGCCGCGCAGGCGGACAAACTGCCTCGACTACGGCTACGACGACGCCGCGGCGGGCAACCGGACGGCCGGCAACGGCTCTGCCCCCGCCAACGTGGTGCGCTACAGCTGGGAGACGGGCGACGACCGCTTTCTCTTCCGGTACTTCCACGCCGGCATCTGGTACTCGTGCGAGGAGAACATCAACACGCCCGGTGAGTCCCCGCGCTCCATGCGGGGGGCGCTGCGCGGCGCTTGCACTTGTGCTGCGCGGCGGCGGCGGGTGGCGGGCCCTGCGCGCCCCTTCGGGCCTGACGCTCCCCCGAGAGCCCGGAGCTTCCCCCTCGCCCCTAAGCTCCGGACCAGCCGCGGGGAGCCGGCGCTGCTCCGCGGCATCGCGCCCTCCCGTCTCCCGGGCCGTCCGGAGCCGCTTGCCTGGCGCGCCGGCTGGCTCACTGCTGTCCCGACCCCGGCAGGCCTCGGCTGCCGGCTGCGCGGCCCGGGCGCTTCCCGGTTCAGGCACGGCGCCCGCCTCCTCGGAAGCAAGTCCCCGTGCAAGCGCGCAAGGGCGGCTGCAGCCTCGCGGCTCTAGCAAGGCGCAGCCGCCGGAGTTGCTGTGGAGACGGTTGCCTGCTTTTGCTGTGTCACCCGGGGGGGGGGGGGGGCTTACCTGGCCAGGCTCGCCGGCGCGGCGCGGGAGGGGGCCGGTGGCCCGGAGGGGAGCCGCTTCCCCTCTGCCCGCGGCCCCCTCGGATGGCGACTATCTCCCGCGCCCACCCGTCGCACGCTCGCCGCTCCCGACCCCTTCCACGGCGTCCCCGCGGCTAGCCGGGCCCCCCGTCCTTTCCGGTGGGCTGCCGGGCCAGCTCTAAGCCAGGACCAGCCGCCCTCGCTTCCCCGGGAGGCGGCTCCGACCACGCCGCTTGCCCGCCGCTTTCCCCGCGGGCTTGGCGAGGGGCCGCGGCTGGGGCGGGGGACCTGCGCTCCGGAGCGAAGGGGCTGCGCTGGGTGCCTGGGCTCCTCGACGCGGCCGCCCGGCTGTGCGCCGGGGCAGCCCCTCCTGTCGCTCTGTGGCTAGGAGGACCGCAGCGCCTCCTGCCTGGAAAGGAGCCCTGCCCCGCAGCACTCCGCGTCGGGCTTGGCCCCCAGCTGCCCTGCCCGCCCCCTTGCACGCTGCCCCGGGCTGCCCCGGGTGTGCAGACGAGTCCCGCGGAGACAGCACTCCCTCCCCGGGCGCCCACCTGCATCGCCTGGCAAGCCGCCTGAGGGGCGTGTGTGTGGCAGGGGGCACTTTTGCCCCTGTGAACTGCGTCATGCCCGAATGCGTGTTCCTGGGTGCTTGCAGACTCCCCCCAAGTTCAAATCTAGGTGGGACTGGAAAAGGACAGCGTGGCAGTGTGGACTGCATGCCAAGTCTGAAATTAAATCTTAAAAGCTTAGAAGATCAGTTATACAATATGTTCGAAAATAGCCGGAATAAATCCAGGGAAGCAAAAGAGGCAAGAGGCGGGTGGTGCCCGTGCCTTTCGCCCAGGGGCATCTCTGCTGCCTCGGAAGGGCCGCTGCGGCCACTGCGGAGAAGCAGCTTCTGGGCAGGCGCGTTGGCAGTGCAGGAAGCGCTCCGTGTCACTGGAACAGCCCGCCACTGGAGGTGCTGAGGGAGTCCCCAGCCGGGCGTTGTGGAGAAGCGGTACTGCTCTCCAGAGCACCTTTAGCCCTCCGAATGAGCGCACTCGGCTGGGTGCAGCGTAGAGCGAGGGAAGGGGCCGAGCGATGGGAAAGGGCGTGTGACCCAGGTGACTCGAGGGGGTGCTGGCTCCCTGTCCCGCCTGCAGGAGCGCTTTTGGTGTGCTGCCGCCCTGTGGCTCCCCCCGCTTCAGCAGTGCAGGGGGATGGTCTGTGGGGTTGCGCCTGGCCTGGGGGCCGCAAGCAAGTGGCAACGGGCCCGTGCGAGGAGAGGGACAGAAGCAGCCGGCCACAGCTGGAAAGTGGCTGAGACCTGGCGGGATCGGCTCCCCAGAGCAAGATGGCTCTTTGCGCCCCCTGCGGAGTCAGGAGCGGGCGTTCCCTCTGTGGTGGAGAAGCTGTCAAGGGTGGCTTGTGCTGTTAAGGAGCAGCCTTGCTGGATGAGGGCTGAGCCAGCCTTTCCTTCTCACCGTCTTGCTTCACATTGCCTTGTGTTCTCGGCCTAATCCTGTGCCACGCGTAGATTAATGCCATTCTAGTTCTTCTGGCATTCTGTTTGCCAGCTTCAACAGGAAACAGCTTTGCCTCTTTCCTGATCTACTAAGCACCTTTCCTGCTGTGTGAGGGCTGGAATCCTGGGGAGGGGGCTGGAGAGGCAGGGGCCTTCCCAGCACAGCACGATCGAATTGGACCGGGTTGCACACCCATCACTCCAGCCACTGCGCTAGGGGCACCAGGCTGGGGAAGGCTGGCCTTGGCATGCAGAGCCTGGAGACAGCCCGCCAGCCGAGCAGGTCCCCAGGGCTGGGGCACAGAGCCTTTCAGGAGCAGCCTTGGCGCTCCCAGGGCATTTTAGGGGAGGGGGAGAGAAGGGATCCGCCCCACATTCCAAGGCCTGGTCCATCCACTCCTTATTGCTATTATTAACCCTGTATGAATATCTATACTATTAATAACAGCATGGATAACTGTTATGTAACTCCGCAATGTAGAATTATTCACGGTTACATAATTCTGCATTGTGTGCTGCATTAGTGGCTCGGGCTAGGTGGCTGGGCAAGCAGGTTTGGGGGTGGGCTTGGAAGAGAAAGGGCACTTGCTCACCAGCTGGCCGAGGCTGCCAAACCACAGGCCTGATCCAGCTGCCTCCTCGTGCTGGGGCTATTGGGAAGACTTTGGGGCAGAGGTCAGGGCCCCACTCCAGAAAGTGGGCAGGAGCCCCTCAGTCCGGAGCCAGTGATGCAGCCATCCCGAGAGCCAGCCCACCCCAGGAGAGCAGTGAGCTGCAAACCTGAGGCGAGGTCTCCAGGGCATTTCCCGCAACTTCTCCGTGCCCCCTTCCCAAAGGCCACGGTGCACAAGAAGCTGCCTGGCTCCAGGCGCTCCGCAGGCGTGCCGAGGCCTCGTGGCCTGTCCTTTCCCCTCCCGTAGCTGACCCAAGGAAGCAGACATGATGCATCCTGCCGTTTTTCACTCACAACAGCCTTGTGAGGTAGGCTAGGCTGAGAGCGAGCGGCGGGCGCAAAGTGGCCCAGTGAGCGAGGACTGTGACCTGTTTCCCTCAGCGTCCCAGTCGAGCCCTTTGAGCATCCGGCCACAGTGGCTTCCAGAGGTGTATCCCCCAGAGCCGCAACGGTGCCAGCAGCCCTGTCGCCGCGCCTCCTGCACCAGGCGGCCATCCTACTCTTGCAGGGGCTTGCAAGGGCGGGAGGAGGGAGTGCTGAGCCAGGCGCCTTCGCTGGGCATGGGAGCCACCAGGGCCCGCTCCTCAGCCAGTGGTCCGGGAGAAGAGCCCTTTTGGGGTGGGGTGGGGGACCCTGGGGCCAGAGGGGGCCAGGGCCATGAGGGCCCGCGGTCTGTGTGGCGCGCTGGTCCCTCAGGCGCACGGGCCGGACCGATAGGAGGCAGGCTGCGAAAACCTCTCTTCCCCTCTCTCCAGGTGAACAGTGCCGAAGTTTTATTGACCTTGCTCCTGCTTCAGAGAAAGGTAAGAGATGCACTGCATGTCCCCTGCTTCTGGCATCTGGAGGGAGGGAGGCAGGGAGGGAGGCTCTGGCGCCTTGAATGCGACGCTGTCTCTGCCGCCTGAAGGAGTGTGGAGCCGCGGGGGTCTGGGTGGCCGCCTTGCAGCAAAAGGTGCCTGGCCTCCGAACGGTGGGGGTCGGGGACGTGCGTGGCCCGGGCCCCCCCTCTCCCATCCGCACTCTTGCTGCGAAGGCACCTTTTGCTTCCTCCGCTCTGGGCAACCGAGCTCTCCGGTTGTCCTGTGATCTGCACCCCCATCCGCTCCCCCCTTGTCTCACCGGCCGGCTGGTCATGACCCCAGCGGTCCGCGGCACATGGGGGGGGGGGCGACTGCAGGGGCCCCCTTGGCAAGCCGCTCCCAGCCAAACCGGCACTTCGCTCCTGCCACGGTCCTGCCAAGGGGCCTCGAGGCCTTTCGAGCAGCACCTTCCCATGTCGGAAAGCTGCCCTGAGGTCCACCTGGGGGAGGATCCCAAGTGCTTTTCCACTTCTCTGGCTTCCGGCCTGGGGTAGTGCCCGCTGGATGGAGGGCCCCCAGGCGGCCGGGCTACGGTGCCGGGCGCCAGGGATCGGGCGAGGGTGTGGGTCAGCGCAATGGCCACCTGGCCAGGCGGGGAAGAGCCACCTGCCGCCTCCGGCCACTGCCTCCTGGCCGGCCTTCTGCTGGAGAGCCTTGTGAGGGGCCAGGGCAGGTTAGCCAGCCATGGGGGAGAGGTGCTCAGTGCCAGGGCCTGTGCCCCACGCTCTGCCTGCCTGGGAGCCACCTGCCAGCCCCCAGGGCTCGAGGCTCCCCTGCCAAACGAGCCCGTGTGCTCGCTGCAGGGGTCCTGTGGCTCTCGGTGGTCTCGGAGGTGCTGTACATCCTCCTGCTGGTGGTGGGCTTCAGCCTCATGTGTCTGGAGCTCCTGCACTCCAACAATGTGATCGATGGGCTGAAGCTCAACGCTTTCGCTGCCGTCTTCACTGTGCTGTCAGGTACGTGCCGCTGCAAAACAGCCCCCCCCCCCCCCGGCCCTCTGGCCAGCCCCTTGTACCCTTGCAGCCGAACACAGCCGGGGTGGCTGTGTGGGTGAGCTGGGATGCCGGAGTTCCGTCCTGGCAGCACCTCGAGTGCTCCCGGAGGCCTTGCGATGCTTCCTGAAGCCATGGGCCCGAGCAGCTTGTTCCAGGCAGCTGGCGGGTCCCCGTACGCACTGAAATGACAGCATGTCCCCGGCGTGCTGTGGCAGTGAGGCTGCTGGTCTGGTGGCCCGGGAGGTGCTGGCGCCCATTCAGCCGTGAGGCTCCCGGGGTGCGGTTGGGCCAGCCTCCGCCTCGGTCGGTCCACCGCACGGGGTGCAGTGAGGATAGCGTGGAGCTGCCCCGGGTTCCTCGCAAGTGGAGCAAGGCGGGATGCGGGTGCCGAGGAACCCCTGGGCGGCGTGGCGGCTGACAGGGCAGACGGTTTGCAAGGGGATCGGGCCACCCGTGAGGGAGGGGGTGTAGAATGGCTCGGTGGCCCCCCCAACCAGGGCCCCCCACCGCCTGGCTCCGCAGGAGCTGCTCCAGCTGCAGGGCACCAAGTCTGGGGTCGTGTCTTGCAGGGCTTTTGGGCATGGTGGCCCACATGATGTACACGCAGGTATTCCAGGCGACTGTCAGCCTCGGCCCGGAAGACTGGAGGCCCCATGCTTGGGACTATGGCTGGTCCTTTGGGTGAGCCGGAGCAGCAGGGGCTGGGGGGCCCACGGGGTCGCGATCCCAGCGCTCACTTGGAAGGGGGCCCCCGGGAGAGCCATTCACGGGGTCTCCCAGCTGCAGGTGCCTGCCCCACCTGGCCTCCCTCGGGGGCAGCCTCTGCAGGCCCCCAAAGGAGGCTGCTGGCCCCTCCCGCCCAAGCTCCCTGCATCTCAGGGGTCCAGTGTGGACCATGTGGGGGGTCCCAGTGGCATGCCCCCCCGCATCCTCTTTCCTGCCGTGGAACATGGTGCTGGTGTGCGCAGGTGTGAAAAGAGCACCTGCGTTTCTGGCCTGTGGGCAGGACCGCCCTCCCCCAGCAGGGCCAGTGGCTGGGGCCGGGCCGGGCCGGGCCGGGCCGGGCCGGGCCGGGGTGGGGGCCTGGCTCGCTTCCGCTCACGACGGCTCGTGTCCCCTCGGCAGCCTGGCCTGGGCCTCCTTCACCTGCTGCATGGCGGCCTCCGTCTCTACGCTCAACTCCTACACCAAGACGGTCATTGAGTTCCGGCACAAGCGCAAAGTCTTTGAGCTGGGCTTCCCAGGGGACCCCCTCTATGCAGACCACGAGCCCCCGAAAAACTTCCATGGCAGGTGAGCTGGGGCCACACAGGAGGGCTTGTGGGGAGTGCATGGGGCCCGCCCCCCCCCCCGCTGCTCCTTGTTGTCGCTGGTGCCGCGAAGGGTAGGGCAGCTCGTAGCCGGGGCAGACCAGCAGGCCCCCAAAGCAGGGTGTGGGCACAGCCCCTCGAGGACGTGCTGAAGGGACCCCCCCCCAGCATGGAAGTCTAGAACTTCTGTGCACACGAAAAGGACGCTGCGAGGCCTCGCTCCGAGCTGGCAGTGGAGGCACCTGGCACGGGGCGCTTTCTCTGTTCAAAGCGTCTCCCTTTTGCCCAAGGATGTGGGATGTGTGACCGGCGCGCGAGTGAGCCAAGCTGTTCCTGTGGAGCAGCACTGCGTGAAGGCAAAGCAGGGGGGCGTGCAATGGGTGCTGGCTCACGTGTGTGCATGGCACATGTGCACACGTGTGCGTGCAAGAGGAGAGGCATGCCATGACTGCACCCATCCCTGCAGGGGATTGTGTGGGAGACCCTGTTGGAAGGAAGGGACTCCGCAGCCGGGAGGGGCTTCTCTGCTCTGCTCTCCTGCCCTGAGCCACACTCGCTTTTCAGAGGCCGGGAGATCAAAGGGCAACCTGGCACCCAAACCCTAACCCAGAGTTCCCCAGGCCCCCGTGTTCGGCCACGGGGTGCACCTTGGACTCCTCGCATTGGAAGAGTCCCAGAACTGTCTGGGAATCAGACGTGGCGATTCCCCACAACCCCAGCCTGCGTGCCCTGCTGTCTTGGTGCCTTTCAGCCTGGAGGGGCCAGACCATGTGGGGGCCGCAGGGTCTCTTGGCAGCCCCGAAGGAAGCCAGGTAGGCACTGGACAGGATTACGGCCCACCTGGCTCTTCCCAGGGCCTGAGGCCTGCAGCTCCCTCCTTTGGGCCTCTGCTTGTCCCACCGGGCTCCGGGGCTGGCCAGCCCTAGGGATGGCCGAGGACTAGCTAGTCCTCCGAGTGCCCACGGAGGGGCGAGTGCTGGCCACACGGCCTTGTTCCAGCAGCCTGGGCGAGGCTGGGTCCTGCCCAGGCAGCAGGCGCGTGCTTGGGACAGGGTGCTGGAGGCGAGGAGCTGGTGGAGAGGACCGGCCCAGCCTCGGCCCTCCGAGCAGTGCAGGCTGGTATGCTCCCGGGGCTGCCCGGGAGAGCTGCAGCCCGGGAGGCCTCGGGGGTTTGTGGATGAGGGGCATCTGTGGGCTGAGCAGGGCGGGTGTGCCAGAGGCGAGGCTCTGGGGGGCTGCCTTGGAGGGACCTGCCTCGCAGCTCAGTCTGTGGAGTGGCACTTTGGGGACGTGCCCCTGGCGCCTGCGTTGAGTCCCTCTGCCCCCTGCTTTTGAGGAAAGAGCCGCTGGCTGTCTGTGCTCCAGTACCAGCCTCGGCCTCCCCTCCTTCCTGAGGCAGGCACAGAGCATTGAGACCGAGAGATGAAGACTCAGTGCCCTTGGCCAAGGGACATGCGTCCTTCTGTCCCTCCCCCTCGTCTGGAGGGAGCTGCCAGAGGAGCTCGTTGTCTGCCCTCTCACTGCCAGCGAGGGCTCCTTGCGGCTCCGAGGCGGACGATAGAAGATTCTGCATTGCACAGGCCCCTGGGCACGTGGCGTCGGCACGCCAGCATTCGGGCTGCCGGCTCCAGCAGAGGCCTGCAAAGGCTTGCCAAAGCGAGGGCACTTTGTCTTGGGCCCAGGCAAGGGGGCCTGAGGAGGGTCTGGCCGAGGGGGCCATGCTGACCCCTCCAAGCCGATCATGACCCGTACTGTGAAAAGGAGACCCTGGGGATGCCCGCTCCTCTCTGTGGTCTGGCTTCCGTGGCCTTGTGACCGGCTCCACTTGGAAAAGCTGCAGGAGGGGACCAGAGATGCCCACCTTGGACAGAAGCAGAGGAGGAGGAGGCCAACCTTCGTCCCTCAGGATCCCTCAGGATCCCTTCCTTGTCAGCCGTTAGCATGTCACCCTTGCTCTCACGAATAGCACTCGTGCAGTGCAGCTTGCTTGTGGCTGGCCTGCAGGCCGGTCAGGAACCAGGCCGAGCTTCTGCGCTCGGGCCATGGCTGAACTTGTACGTTGACATTCTGCCCTTCTGCGCTTGCCGCACGCCCACCAGTCCCGCCCTGCCGCTTTCCTGCTGGGCTGTGCACAGGTTTCTCCGCAGCCCCCGGCGGTACGTGACTCTCGAGGACGTGGCATGGTGAGTTCCCAGGCCCCTGGGCCCGGAGGCTTGCCCTGACTTCCCAGCAGCTGTGCTGGTGCCTGCTGCTCGCAGATGGCCACGCAGGCAGACACGGTGGCGCATGGTGGCGCTTCTCCGAAGGAGAACGCAGGAGCTGCAGGGAGGCATCCACCCCTGTGTGGCGCTCCCAGGCTGCCAGCGACAAGGCAGGCTGAAGCCTGTCTGCCCCAGCCCGCCGGACTCCTTAATTCCAGTTGTCAAAGGCAAGGGAGGCCTACCTCGAGCTGCTGCGGGAGCCCCTGCCCATCGCTTCCGAGAAGCTAGGAAGGGCACCGAGCCCACACCGCCCTCCTCTCTGGCGGCAAGGCCACCTCTCTGCCCCACCACCAACGCGGGCAGAGCACACCAAGGCCACGCAGCCTGGCCCGCTGGCCTTGGCCCGTGGGACGGCGGTCCTGGCCGCTGAGGCGCAGGTGAGCAAGCCGTCTGTGCCCATGCCGATGCCCAGCAGGAGCCACGCCGGTCTCTGTTACAGATGCGGCTTGTGTGTTCTCTTTTCCAGGCTGGAGGAGGAGAGGGATGAGGCTGGGGTCGTGAGGTCAGAGTGCCTCCACGGCTGCTCCTCCAACCGTAAGTGCACCCCCTCTCGGTCTCTCTCTCTCTCTCTCTCTCTCTTGCATGATGGCTCTCCTGGGCAGCAGGCTTAACGTGCATGTCCGTGAAGGGAGGGTATTAATCTGCTTTCGCTTTCAAGGGCGTTTAATCTGGATGCGAACGCTGGCAGGCGGGGGTCACGGCCTCCACCACTGTGGCCCTTTGGACGTGCAAACGCCCCACCTGCCCGCAGCTCCTGACGCAACAGGAGCGCCAAAAGTTGTGGAAGGTGTTGTCTGCAGAGGGAGAGGGGAGCAGAGATTTCGGGAAGTGGGAAGCGCCTCCCGGCCTGTCCTTGTTAACTTCCCCTGATCTGAACTGTGGCCGAGTGACACCCTTTCTTGAGGGTCTCCTGTGTGTGGTGTGCACGGTCCTGGATCATGCGGTGCCCTCACGTTGGTCCTGCACGCCTGGCAGCACTGACTGCGGCCTGAGTGGAGCTTCGAACCCAGGTGGTCAAGGCCCCGATAGTGAGGGTGTTCAAGGACAGGCTGGACATGCACATGGCAGGCATGTCATGATCGGAGCCAGCTGGAGCCAGGGGTCAGACTAGATGGCCTGGGAGGCCCCTTCAGGCTTGCTCCATTTCTCTGCTTCTAAGTAGTCTCCCCGTGGCCCAGCGGTGGTGCCGGAGGGTGTGGCGCTTTCCTTTGGACCCCCCCACAGCCAGCAGGTAGGCTGCCATGTGAGTGGGGGGGCTGGATGAGGTGCCCCCCAAGTCCACTTCAGGGCTGTTCTGACCTGCCTCCTGCCCTTCGCAGCGAGGCCATGTTCCACAGGGACTAGGCGCACCCTTGTGCCACTGAGACGCCCAAGTCCCAGCCTGGGCTGGGGCCTGTGGCGCCGCCGCGGCCACCCTCCTCCTGCACTCCGGGCGTCTTCCAGGGTCATTTGGGTGCTGGCTTGACTAATGGCACTTCCTGAACCAACACATGAAATGTAGCAGTTACTCTTCCCCATTTGCACTTTTCTGAATGTTCAGCACCCCCAGTGAAAAACAGCTACAAACCTTTGCTGGTTAGAAACCTGTGTGAACGACAGTGCGCATATAAGTAAAAGGGATATACGGAGATGCGCTTGAACAGGAAATTTACAATGTGCATAGAAAAATGGCAGAATATAAATAGTGTGGTGGTGGTGAAGAAAAAGTCTGTACAGAAGCACTGATATGAGAAGGACTGTACATGGAAACGCTTGCACGTGTCTGGAAAAGGGTTCTTAGCTTTTTGGTGAAGATCAAGTATATCCAGATTTTAAACTAGTGCAAATGGATGTGAAAACAGGTGAAATGCACGGAGGGGTCTCTTGCTTGCTTGGACGGTGGCGATGCCACGTGGCCCAGCGGCAGCCTCCTCGCCTCCGAGGCAGGCACGCCTGCCCCGCCAAGGCACCCCGAGGCTCCCGGCTCTTTCTGCTGGGCAAAGCGATGGCGTTCCCCACGGCAAGTCCTGATTTTCACAAAGCGGACGACAAACCAGCCTTAACGGTTGTCTTGTGTCCGACCAGGTGAAAAGGTGCATCCGGCTGCCTGGCCAGCGGCTCGTGAGGCCTGCCCTCCCAGCAGCTGGGGCTGGAGGCTGGGGCAGCTGTCCTTGGGCAAGACGCCCCGTGCCTCCCACACGGGCTGGCTCCTGGGACCAGGGCAGGGCAGGTGTGGGTGACTTGGTGCCTTGCGCTGCCCGCCAGCCCTTTCTCACGGACCCACTCCCCACGGCTGCTCCGGCACAGCAGGGGCCACGGCAGGGATCCTGTGGGGAGCGGCTGTGCCCAGTGGCGCCAGCAAAGGGGTGGGCGCACGGTGGCAGTGCCCGCTTGCATGCGAAGGGGGCCGGGCTCGGCTGCTGCCAGCTTCTGGGGCGAGAGAGCCCCCTTCTGCGAGTCACAGAGGCCCTGGGTGGGGGCTCAGGCAAGGGGGTGGAGGGGACCTGGGTTCTGGGTGCCCCAGCAAAAGCCTCTTAGGAGGCTGCAGTTGCCCTTGGCCAGGGCCGTGAGACAGGGAAGCGGCGGCTTCTCTGCTGCGGGGAGGTTCCTGGCGGAGGTGCCCCGGGATGCAGGCGCAGGCCAAACGGCCTGGCAGGCGGCGGGAGCTGTGCGTGACGCCTCCGTCACTCTCGCGTGGGGGCAGAGCGCCATGACGTGGAGGCACTCTCGGTCTGCGGGGAGAGAAGTCAGTCCTGCCCAGGAACCGGGAGCTGCAGCTCTTCTTTATCGGTCACTTGGTGTGAGGCAGAAATAGGGATGATGTTTTCTCTTGCAGGACTGCACAATACCCAGTTATGAAATCCCAGAGAAACGCGGGCCACCAGAACGGCCAGAGAAGATGCTCCTTGGCCCCGTCGAGCTCTTCCACCCATGCGGCAAACGCGTCCTCGATTTCGTCAGGGCCCGCCAGCCACGTCTCCTCCCCAGAAGTGGGGTGGGGGGCTGCTGTGGCAGCCGCTCAAGCTGCCGCTGGCTGCAGATCGACGGAGCGCCGAGATCCACTGGCACAGGTGGCGGTGACGGCAGGGTCCGGATCTGTGGCTCTGCAGCGTCAGCCGAGGCCGGCGTCTCACCTGCCCACCTGGAGGACGCATCTGACAAGCGGGCCAGAGAGCCTCGCGCCAAGAGCCGTGTCAGCCAGTCGTGATAACCACCCCCACAGCCAAGAGCCCATGGCTGCCCCAGCAGGCAACCTGCAGGCAAGGAGACCGTGTGCCCAGCTAAAGCGCCCTGCGAGCACTGCCCGAGCCGACGGGCCTGCGAAGGCCGAGGAAGAGGAAGGCCTGAGGAGGTTTGTGGGTCCCGCAGGATGTGGGCGGCTGAGGGCCGAGTCCTCCGCGGAGGGCGGTGCAGGTGTCTGCCTGAGCCTGGTCCAAGGCCAGCCCCCAACTCCCGGGCCGTCTGGGCGTCCTCTGCAGCCTGATGGGGAGCTGGCAGGTTGGCATCAAGAGGTGGCGCCATCTCCGTGATGCTGCAGCGGGGGAGGGGGGCTCCCTCCACTGGCCCATCTGCCCCTGCCTTTGCCAGGGAGAGCCGAACTCGGGGCTTATTCCGTGAGCCGCTGCCTAGATGCGTCGCTCCTGCCATGCCAGCAGGAGTGGCGGCCCCGGGTGTGGAGACGGGCAGGTGGCGGAACACATGGCGTCCCTGTGGCAAGCTGGTATCGCACACGCCTCCAACGTGCTCCTCTGTCGGGGGACAGAGAGGTGGCGAGGCTGGGCTTGGCCCGTGTCCGGCCCCTGAGCCGGCACGCGGCTCCTCATCCGGCTCCCGCCTCCCATCTCCCCCAGAGGCTTTGTGACCCGGCGGGAGTTCCTGGCTGTGGAGCAGGAGCTGGAGGCCGTCCAGGAGGAGCTGAAGTGCCTCAGGTGGAAGGTGAGGCACATCGGGGAGACGGTCCAGCCGCTGGCAGAGGAGAGCAAGCGCTACAACGGCTACACCCTGACAGAGCTGCGGGCCATGGCGCAGTCCGAGGAGGACCCCCACCAGGCCGCCCAGAAGATCCTCATGGCGCTCTTCAGCGACGTCTACCTGCTGCAGCGCTGCGCCCCTGGCCAGGCCTGCCACGCCCGGAGCCTGTCCCAGCCCATCGACCCGGAGCTCTACATGGTGTACTGCCACATCCTGCAGAGCATCTTCCCCGGGACGGGCGGCCACACCCCGAGGGAGCGGACCCAGCAGGTGTAGGGAGACCTGGAGCCCCGCCTGGGGGACGGCCCTTGCGGTGCGCCGGAGGGCCCTGGGAAGGGCTGCCCCCTCCTGCCGCTGGCCAGAGGACCCTGTGGGGCTGGCGCAGGAAGATCTGGACCGCCGGCACAGGATCGGTTTTTAACACAACAAAAATATATGTGCTGCTGCTGGTGTTCTTTTGCAAGTTGTGCCTTGCTTTCTGAGCCGCTGTGGGTGAGCCGAGGTTTCCGGCTTCAGGCACCTTCGATCGCCAGCCTGGGCACAGTGCCCCCTCGGCCTCCCCAGCCCAGCATCTGCTCGCGAAGCCACCAAGGCGGGGCTGGAGGGCAGCAACCGGCTCTGGGAGGCGGACGCCCCCACACCCGAGAGAGGGGGCATCCTCTGAGAGCTGCCCCCTCCCACAGCCTTCCTCTGGCCACAGCTCCGAGCACACCAGCCCATTCCCCCGGCGGCCCTAACCGGGACCACTGCTCCTGGCAATGCATCCCCGCCTCAATTCCCCGGCCTGAGTCTGGTGGCAGCCGCTCTCTTGCTGGTAATGGAAATGCCACCTTGGGGGAGGGCGCCAGTGCTCCCAGGGAGGGCTGCCTGCCCCTGCTCCCCCCCCACACAGACGCCCCGTGAGAGGGACATGGGCAGGGCTGAGCAGCAAGCGAGGGGGCAGAGGGGCTCTTGGGTCCTCCGGCAGCCCAGCAGGAGTGGGAGTGGGGGAGAGGCAGACACCAAGGGGCTGGTGCCATCTGGGGCTGGAGCGGAATTCATCTCCTTGCAATCAGATTAAGGGGCTGAGGCTCTGGCCGCAGCTGCACCCCCCCCCCCACCGGTCCGCCAGTGCCTGTGCTCCAGCCACGGGTGGCAGAGCAAAGGTGGGGGCGGGAGCTGCGTGCTGCGCTGTGCCCCCCCCACGTTAGCCCCACGGCAGCAGGCCATGCAGGCCCACACGTCCCTTGTGGGGGGCGGGTGGAGAGCGGCAGCCTCGTTTGCCCTGCGCGGTGGAGAACGCTGGCCTGGAGCTGGCCGCGCGGGACCAGTAGGCAGCCGAGCAGTAAAGCAACCAGGACGAGCAGCAGGGAAGGCGAAAAAGGACGGAGTCCCGGAGGCGAGAGGAGCTGACTCTGTCGGCGCTCGTCCCCCAGTGGGGCCGGGGAGGGGCCCGCCTCCCGCCTTCCCCTGGTTCACGAGGAAGGGGCAGGAGACGCGGCCTTGCTCCCGGTCCAAGCAGGGAAGGGCCTGTGCGGCTGAGAGCGGGCTGCTCCGCTGGCCGCAGGCCTCCGTGCAGCTGCCAGCACCACCACCTGGACAAGGCCCGCTGGAGAGCCTGCCTGGGGATCAGCGGGCCCCCCCGAGTCACGTCCAGGGCGGGTGGGCCACGCTGCCCTGCGGAAGCCCTGCCAGGGAATGGGGCGGCCGCGGCAGCGGTGTGCACGCCGCCGCCCTCCCATTCCCCATGGCGCCCCTCGCTCGGCTGCCGCCCAAGGGGACCCCGGCGACCCTGCAGCTGCCCGCCCGGCCCTCTGGGGGCTGTCCCCCAGCCAAAGGCTCCCACGCAAGGCAGCAGCAGACGGCAGCTTCCGGGAATCGTTTAATGGAGCTGCAGTGGAGAACTTCTGGCTGCGCCTGCCAAGCAGCCACCGCCAGGGCTGTTCGTCCAGGCCGCCCTGGGCCAGCCGCTGGCCTCTCTGGCTGGTGGCCGGGGCCGGAGTGGAGAAGCCCAGGCTGGCCGCTGTGGGGCCCTCTCTGCGTCACTGCTTCGCCCTCCACAGCAGGCCTTTGTCCTGAATGCAAGTTCTGGGGCGAAGAGCTGTGGGGCAAGGGGGGAAGAGAGGTTCCGTGTCCGCAAGAAGCTCCCTGGCCCCCCCACCTCCAGCCATCCAGCTGTCCTCCCGCCAGCCACTATCGGGGCATCTTCTGGCTCCTGCCCCGGGATGGATGAGTGCCAGACAAGCTGGTACGTCTTGCAGGGAGACGGTCAGAGGGGGCTGCGCTAGGCTGGGAAAGGACTCCCGCTGCCCAGTGCGCGGCCTTCCCGTGCTGGGAGGTCCCCCTCTGCCGCTTCCCACCACCCAGCCCAAGTTCTCCCCTGCTCAGACTCACCTTGGTCAGCAGGCACCTGCCTCTTTCGCGAGGAGGAGATGACTTGGTTCTCGTTCATCATCCGCACTTCCTGGTCCCCCATTTCATTGCTGTCAAGCCAGAGATGGGCAAGGGGCTTCACTGGAAGCCAGGGAGCAGGTGGGGCTGCCATGAGCTGCCTGCTCCCGGGGCCGTGCTGGGGAGGAGAGGCTCTCGGCGTGATGGCCGGTGGCCGGCTCCTCCCTTGCTAAAGGGCAGCTAAAGGTGAGGCACCGGGCTGGGACCATGGAGCTCTCCCCCACAATTCAGGAAAACAAAGCAGGGCACATCTTCAGATCATTTAGGAACCTGCACTGGCCAGAAACGGTGGCGGAGAGCGAGGTGTGTGAGTCGCAGGGCCCCCTCCCCCCCGACCTCGCTTCCGAGGCCTCTGCCCTGAAGCAACGGTCCAGGAGAGCCCCCTCGCCTCTTCTGCCTCACAGAAGACTGTCCCCTTTTGCTCCCCCCCGCTCTGCCCTCTGGCATATGCACCTCCCAGGCTTGGCAAGCCAGCACCTCCGGGCTTCCATGTGGCCTCCAGAGTGCGAGTGCTGTGAAGCCAGCCCATTCCCGAGGGCATGTGGGCCCGGGGCAGGCCACCAGCCACCGCTTGCCACGGCCGGGGCTTCCGCTCCTTCCCTGTCCCAGAGGATTATCTGGCACCAGAGAAGCTGCACAAGCTCTCTCGGAACATGTTATCCAATTAGGTCAGGGCTTGTCATCTGCTCGCATTTGACCTTTATGGTGGAGGGATTTGGCTCTCAATTCTATTCCCGCAGGCAGAAATCCCTTCGCGGCAACTGTGTTCCCTGTGGGGTCCACTCTTGTTGCCCAGAGACAGGAAACAAGTTGGCGGTACTAACGGCATCACGGAGAGGGGGGGAAGAGCGGCAGAGGGAACTGCTGTGGGTGGACCCCAGCTGAGAGAGCCCAGGCTGGAGAGATGCAGCCCAGGGGCTGAGGCAGGGACCAAGGAGAGGGAAGGGCCCCTGCAGAGCAGACCATGCTGCTCTGGAACAGGAGGGCTCCTCAAGTGCCCCCGAGCCTGGCTGAAAGGGAGGGCTGCCCACGCCACAGGCAATGCGCGGCTGAGGCTGCAGGGACCGGGCCGGCCCCTGCTCCCCCGGCCCCCATACCTGATCAGGGCATGCTTCTCCTGCCGGCAGACCTTCTCATCGTCAGTAAAGAGGATGGTGTGGTGGGGGACCGTGGGCTCGCAGGTGGGCAGGATGCCCGGCACCAGGTGGTCCACCATCTCCAGGATCCCGTTGTACACAAGCAGGTCATCGACGAGGAGCTGGTCGCCAAGGAAGATGCCAGCATTACTGGCTGCACCAGCCGAAGGACGGGAGGTTGGCCGGGCACCCCGTCCCCCGCCACGGATCACCCTGCAGCTTGTGCAAAAACACAGGCACCCCAAAAGCCGGGCCACCGCGGGAAGAGGAGCCACATCCGTGTCCTGGCCGCAGGTCACTCATGCCCCGCCTGAATGCCCAGCTGCATGCTGTCCCCCAATGGCTCTGCCGGCTTCTGCGCAAGCCAGGGGGAGGCAGCGGGTGGCCTGCAGTCACTGCCGCAACTCCTTCCCCGCAAAGAAGCCGAGCTGGCCGGGCGGGAGCAGAGGGACTGCTTGGTGCGCAGGTCCACAGTCCCCTCCCTGGCAGACGGCTGCTGGGAACAAGGGCCTTGATGGCGAGGAAGCCCCAAGACCCTGGAGAGCAACTGCTGGGCACAGGCGACGAGGGTGGGCTCGCCGCTCGCAGGAGCTCCCTTCCCAAGTGGGAACCAGCGGTGCACAGCGCCAGAGGAGGGGACAAGCCCAGCCTGTGCCAGCACTTACTCCAAACTCCTTGACTCCTCTCTGGGGACTCTTTGCATAATTCCACAGCTTGATCAGGGAGACTCTCGTGGGCAGGTCGAAGATAACATAGACACGATTCACCTGCCACCAAAGCAAACCAGTCGGTTAGAGTGGAAGGGCCCTGAGCGTGGCGCGTTCAGCCCCGAGCCCCTCAGACTACACTTTGATCCCAGGCAGCATAGCTCTTGTGCATCTCAGGAATTAAATCTCAGTTAACAGCCCAAAGCAGTTTGAAATATTTGGGCATGGGACAGTCTTCTCTTGCCATGCTGCCTGGGAGTCAGAAAGGCAGCACGCGTGATGAAGGTCCCAGACCCCTGGCCGGATTCCTTGGCCAGGCATCCATTCCGACCGATCTGTCGCTTGTCCATCGCAGCTGCCACTTGCACAGCTTGCTTCTTGTGCTACTTCTTGGCAAGGACCGGACAGTGGCTTTGCCTCTCTGGGCTTAGTACTTGTATGTCTGAACCACATCACAACCGAAGCGTCCGCATACATGAAAAGCAACAGCACAGTGAATCTGAAAGCAAAAGGCACTAACGGATTTGTTGTGAGCCGCCCCGAGGCTTCGGCGAATGGGGCGGCATAAAAATGTTTTAATAAAATAAAATAAAATAAAATAAAATAAAATAAAATAAAATAAAATAAAATGCCTGGGAAAATGCAAAGCCCCCCTTGCCCGGCACCAGGTCAGCCTCTTGGCGGAGGGGGCTCTGCAGGCGGGTGGCTGCCGCTGCTGAGAGGGCTTCCCTCTCGCTGCCTCCTGCATCGCCTCGTCCGGGCACCTGAGGGATGGCCTCAGAACACGACAACCGGGTTCACAGCTGCACGGCGACTTCTGAGCTGTGCGTGGGCAGCAGGGACACCACTCGCACTGCAGGGGGCCCTGGCCTGCCCAGAGCGAGGCAGGCAGGTGGGCTGGTTGACCGGCCAGCCGGCAGGCCACTTCAGAGAGGCAGCAGGGATGGCTGCCAGTGGAGGGCGCTCTAGCCTAGTGGCAGATGAACTATACCAAGCCTGGAAGAATTGGTGCAAGCCACATGTGTCTCCCATCACTGGTGCCATTCACACCGTCAATGAGCTTGTCTGGTGTCCGGACATCTCCACAGACGCCCTCCAAGATGTTGACGCTCTCGGGGAAGGCAGCAATGTCTGCAGCGCAGGTCAAGGGCAACCCGGAGCAAGGGGCCGCGCCGGCTGCCAGGCCCGCCTCAGGCCGCCCTCCTGCCACCGGGGGGGAGGTGGGGAAGCCAAGCAGGGGGGCTGCGGGGTCAAAGGGACATCTGGCCGACGGGGGTCAGCGGGTTCTGGAGATGGCGCCAGTGTCTGGACAGCGAGCCGGCTGCTCCGAGTTGTCCCGGGACCTCTTCAGCCCTAAGATGCGAGGCCCCGCTCAGGCCCCTGCAGGGAGAAGCTGAGGCAGAAGAGGCCGCCCGTGGGAAGCTGACCTGGCCATGGTCAGCCCCACATGGTCAGGCTGAGTTGGGAGGGGGCACCCCCTTGGGGCGCCCCGGTCCCTTGTGCGGGGCTGTCTGCCGGGCAGCAGGGAGGCAGCGGCAATTCCGAGAAAGGATACTGCTTTCGCGGAGGAGAATTCTCTCCCCGCAGTCGTCGTAGAGCTCCAGCCCACTCAGGCCGATGTAATAGGGGTCGCCCCAGCTGGTCAGCAGCTGGAACTGGAAAACAACTGATCACGCAACATTGAGGAAACGCTCAGTAACGGCCGAGAGCCGAGCCGTGGTGACACGCGCTCCAGGGGGCCCGTAAACGCGGGTACCCAGGCACGCCGCAGCTTGAGGCGGAAGCCCCCCGTCTGCAAGGTGGGCAGGGGCAGCCCTTGCAACCCACGGCCGCTGCTCCCACGGTTGCCAAGGAAACGTGGGGCAGGGCAGAGACAGCCCTTTGGTGTGCGGCCCCAGACACCAACATGAAAGCAAGGCAGGTCACAGCCCGCTCCCAGAAGTGGAATTCCAGCGAGGCACCCCCACCCCCGCAGAGGCGCCCAGCCGCCAGAGGCCGACGAGCAGGGGGCAGGCAACCCGAAGGATACACCCGCGGGGCATCAGTGGGGCCTCGTAGTCCATGCTCGCCCGCTCCGTCTTCCTCAGGGCCGTGCTGCCAAGACAGGGACACGCGCATGCAATGGGTGCCTCGAGGCGCACACGCTCTGTGCACGGGGCCCGCGGCAGGCGGGGCCCCAGCCAGACCGGCGGGGGCGGGGGGGGGCCGTGCCCGTGCTGCCCGCTCGCTCACCGCTGGCGTGCGGGGGTCGGCGGGACTCCCGCCAGGCAGTCCACGAAGAGCAGCTCCTGGGCAAAGTCGAAGTGGCAGTTGCCGGGCCCTTTGCGGACGAGGAAGCCCCCCGGCGGGGAGAGGCAGCAGCCGTCCAGCCACACGTGCAGCACCTTCGCCTGGGGGGGACAGAGCACGGGCAGGAGAGCTGCCTGAGGAACGGGGCCCCTCCTGGGCCCGGCGGGCACTAAGCCTGCATCTCTGCTCCGCTGCCCGGAGGGAGGCCCAGCCCCAAGAGCCACGGCTGCCCAGGCGATGCTCGCGAGAGGCAGCAGAATGGGGCCCGGCCACACCTCCCTCTTTCCGCCTCTGGCACACGAGAGGCAAGGCCCCCGGCAGCAGCCCGTGGACAGTGGGTGCCTCTGGCGAGGCCCTCGGCTCACCCCTCGGTATGTGTCCTCGGGGGACTTGTTGTAGTTCCAGAGGCGAAGGCCCGCCACGGCTTCCACTTGAGCGAAGTGGATGGTGACCGTGTGATCTTCTCCTGGGCTGAAGGGAATCAGCCACATGTGCTCGTCCTCGGTAGTGACGTTCGTTCCATCAATTAATCTACGAGATGGGAACAAAGGCCAGGCCACGGGCAGGTGCTTCCTGCAGGAGGCCAGCCACAGCGGGCCCAAAGCAGGACACCGGATGCAGTAGGGATGAACCTGGGGCACACATGCCACAGCGGGCCGGCAGAGCCCCCTCCGTCGGCACGCGAGCCAAGTCACCCAGGCATTGCCCTTGCAGCCGAGCATCGGAGAGCAGCGGACGAAGGAGCAATGTGCATGCTCGGAAGGGAGCAGCAGAGCCACAAAATGATGCCACGAGGCGTGACACATTAGCCGCAACTGGTACAAGCTTTGGCATGGCTGGTTTGTGCGCAGCCAAGGAAATATATACATGTGCTTGGACTGGCTGCTTAAAGGTTTTATTGCAGTGTTGGCAATTTGCGATACAAAAGTGGGTTTTCGACTGCAGTTTGCACACTTGGTCTCTAAAAGCTTAACCATCACTGGCTTAAGCTTAGAAAAACGAGGCGTCCTGGCACGAGTTTGATGGTTGGAAGGTGCTTAGAATGGGCAGAAATGTTGAGCTGGGCAGAAAAAGCTCCTCAGGGAAGGCTTTTTCAAAATCGCCCTCTTTTCAGCGGAACTTTAGCCCTATATTAGGGTTAGGGGTGTGCCCCAGGGTAGGGTTAGGGTTAGGAAAACGAGGTGTCCTGGCATGGTTCTGATGGTTGGAATGTGTTTAGAATGGGCAGAAATGATGAGCTGGGCAGAAAAAGCCTTCCTTGAGTAGCTTTTTCTGCCCA